GCGGAGCAGGCGAGGAAGACGACGGAGGGCAGCCTGCGGGAGCTGCAGGAGCAGAACGACGACCTGAGGAGGAAGGCGCTGGGGCTGGAGACGCAGCTGAAGGAGTACGAGCGCTTGGGCGAGAACTGGGAGGGCTCCCAGGCGCGGCTGAAGGACAAAGTCACCAAATTGGAGGTTAGCGGGGCGCCGCGGCCGATCCTCGAGCTGTTCCCCTGCTGAGGGACGGGGATTGAAGAGCCCTCTCCCTGCAGGCGGAGCGCAGGCAGATGGAGGAGTCGCTGGGTGAAGCCGTGGAGCGGGAGCAGGAGCTGCTGCTGGCCAAGCGGTCGCTGGAGACGCGGCTGGAGGAGGCGCAGCGCGGGCTGGCCTGGCTGACTCAGGAGCAGCGGGAGCTGAGCGCGTCCCTCCAGGACGAGCAGCGGCAGAAGGAGCAGCTCCGGCGCGCCAAGGGGGAGCTGGAGGAGCAGAAACGCCTGCTGGACCGCACCACCGAGAAGCTGAACAGAGAGGTTGGGGTGCCCGGGTGCTGTGGGGGCCACTTGCACCCCGAGGTCTTTGGGGGGGGTCTCCGAGATGCCCTGGGAATCATTAGATTTGGAGTCGTTAACGTTGGAAGAGCCCTCTGAGATCAAGTCCAACGTCAACCCAACCACACCACGGCCATAAACCGTGTCCCCAAGTGCCACATCCACGCGGTTTTTGGACCCCTCCAGGGATGGGGACTCCACCACTGCCCTGGGCAGCCCCTTTCCACTCTTGGCTGTTAGGGCAGAGATCTGAGACTGCAGGCATGGATCTGCTTTCCCTGCGGTGCTGGGTGGTCCTGATCCTTTCCCATCATCCCAGGAGACCCCATAAGCCCACGCTGTCCCCAGGGATCACCTATCCCAGCACTACAGTGTCCCCTACCCTTCTGCTGCCCCTGAGTCTGGGAGCATCGGGGCTGCCCTGGCAGGGGGCTCGCACCCCTCCCTGCGATGCTCCTGAGCCCCCGGGGCAGAAATGTCCCCTCCGAGGGCATCTTCTCCCCCTCGAGCCCCATCAGCTCAGGCCAGGGGACCCCCCTAGGGCTGGTCCCCATCTCCTGAGCCGTCCCCGCTCCCCCGCAGCTGGCGCAGATGCCGGAGGAGTCGCACACCTCGCTGGCCGCGCTGCAGGCGGAGCTGGACGAGTTCAAGGAGAAGTCACGAAAGGAAGTCACCGACTCCCAGAAACAAGCCAAGGAGCGGGGCGCCGAGGTGGAGAAGATGCAGATCAACATGGGACGGCTGCAGGACGAGGTTGTGTGTCCCCGTGTCGTCCTCTCGGTCCCTCCGTGGGGACCTTGGGGACACATCTGATGGAGGGGACACCTTGGTTGGTGTCGCAGGTCGCCCGGCTGAAGCAGGCGCTGCAGGAGAGCCACGCGGAGCGGGAGAGCGCGGAGCTGGACAAGGAGGTGTTGCTGCAGCGCCTGCACAACCTGGAGCAGGAGGTGGAGACCAAGAGGCGCTCGCAGGACGATCGCTCGCGGCACCTCAAGGCGCTGGAGGTGGGGAGCGCGCGCGACACCCCAAAAACCGCACGTCCACACCCCCTGCAGTGCTGTGCGCTGACAGCAAGGGGCAGAGCTGGCCCATCAGCCTCCCAGAGAGGAGTTACGCAGCCCGGCAGCGCGGGGAGGGGGTGATTATGGCTAAAATTAAGGTCTATTAATTGCCAGCTTGCTTTTGGCTTTACCCGGCATCGCCTCGTGGCTCAGCTCGCTGCTGGCTTTGTGGGTTATTACCCCAGTGGGGTAGGGGAGGCGCATGGGGTCTGCACGGCATCAGGCTGATGTGGCTTGGATCTGAGCATCTCCCTTCTCTGGCTTCTCGGGATGTGCTGGAGCCTCCCAGGCTGCACTGGAGCCGGTTGGGTTTTACTGGGCTGGACTGGTTGTGGTGCAGACCCCCTTCCTCCAGCCCCTCCTGTCCCTCTGCCCTTTGGGATCCCTGACCCTTGTGGTCCCCTCTCCTCACAGGACAAATCCAAGCTCCTGGAGGTGGAGCTGGAGGAGGAGAGGACCACGGTGGAGCTGCTGACAGAGAGGGTCAACCGCAGCAGAGACCAGGTAGGGCAGGGGCTTTGCTCCCAAAACCCACCCCAGAGCCTCCCCAGCACCCAGCAATTCAGGTGCTGGGGTACAACCGGTCACCAGCCTCGTTAATGAGTCATTAACGAGCAGCCCGGAGCCCTCCCCCGGAGGTCACTCCCAAACGGGGGCGATGGTTTGACAAGCTGCTTCGGGCAGGAGCGGAAGGGAGATGAGATTGGCACCAAAACCGAGGGAATCCCCTGAAATGTCAGGGCGAGGTTTGTGTGTGCACAGGAAGTTGGGGCGTAAATAACGCCGGGCTCTCCCCTCCCTCTGAACCCTCCTTCCTAGCGGTGCTCGAGCTCTGCGGGTGGGCAGGAGCTGCTCACCAAGTGATACTGGGTTTTACTGGGATCCCGGGATCGGAGGCTCCTCCAATTCCAGCCCGAATTCCTCCTGCCCCCCTGGGATCCAGCCTGGGGCTCGGGAAGGGGATTCTTACCCCATGGCACAGGGAGCTGGCGAGCAGGTAGGGAGCTGGCGAGCCGGTAAAATGAGTGGGTTTCCTATTTTCCCATCTGGGAAATGAGTGCATCCCGAAGGTGATTTCAGGGGAAACTTTTCCTGTCCAAAGCACAGAGGCTGTGGTGTGCGTGAAACCACGGCTGGGATCAGCTCAGGAGCGGCCTTACCGGCTTTTGGGGCTGCTTGAATAGAAATCAAGCAATTTTTTAATATAAACCCCCAATTTCCCTTTAAAATAACACACAAAGCTGTGTATTTTGCCTTGGTCAACCTGAAGGAGGCCTCTGGGGTGGTTCTGGTTTTGCTCCATTGTGGATCAAACCCATGCCCTGTGGTACTGGGCAGAGCTGGGAGCGCAGTTGGGTCCTCGAATCCCAGTCCGACCAGTTTAAACCCTCCAGTGGGAAATCACAGCCATCATCTCCAGGCTGCTCGCTAATTTGGGAAGGGACCAAAATCCTCTCGTTGGGGGTTTTTGGTGTCACCGCCACCGGCTGCCATGGGACAGCCACCCCGTGGCATTGGGTGCACCGAGCCCCCCCGTGCTCTGCGGCACCGGTGGCACGAGGCGAATCGCGGGCAGTGGCCACCGTGGCAGCCCCGGTCTCTTGCTGAGCGATCGCAGCAGCGAAG